GGCTGACATCACATTACAGGACAGCCAGAGACAACACCCAGACTCAGGGTGACAGCAAGTCCATGCGTGTGTGTAGGATCAGCATCCTGGACACTCAGGGCCAGGTCTGTGCTGGGGCCAGGAAAGAGCCTTTGGTGTGTGGGAGCCAGTGCAGCAGGACCCCAGGGGAGCAGGGACACGGGGGGCACGGGCAGAGCAGTGGAGTGCACACCAGCACACAGCCCCACCCGCCCAGGAGCTGGAGGACAACGTGACACTCACCCATGGTCTGGAAGTTGAGAGCCACCATCTGACAGCCAACGTTCCAGAACATCTGGGGCAGGTAGTTGGAGGAGTCCATGCGGGTGCCCTTGGGGTACACGCGGCTCATCTGCCGCTTGTTGTATCTGCAGGGGCTCTATTGGAAACAAGTCTGAGCACTCCTCCTGCACCCCGGGGCCAGCTCGTGGGGACTGTTTAAGAAACAAGAGAGGCCCTGGAAACAACAGGCTCCTTTCCCACACCCCTTCCACTTTAGGACAAGCATCTGGCAGCCTTGTGTTCACTCCAGCAGGATGCAGCCTGTGGAGACTCTCTGTGAACAGCTCCCAGGCCACCCTGCAAGATCCCACCTCTCCAGCACCTGCACACTTCATGTCTGCAGTTTACCAGGTCCTGAAACTAGAAGCCAGCTGGGAACACTTCAGCCTCACCCACGCTTCAGATGAAGCTCCATAAAACTCCACACTACCAACTACCCTTAATAAGGTCACCAAAAGGATACTCTACAAACTGCACGGGGAACTTGGTGAGCAGGTCATAAGCCTTCAGCTCTGTGAAGGAAGAGATGACGTAGCTCCGATTCTTCTCTGGAAGCAGGAGATAAGAAAGGTGTCAGGAGAAAGCTGTGCCCAGCCCCAGTTCTGTGCTGGGGACCAAGTGACCCAAGGAGCACTTGGCAAGTCTTCTCCTACTTTCTACCAGGCACCCCTTCCTACCAAGAAGATTTACCCTCCTCTGGTCCCTTGGAAAGGGGCTGAAGAGCAATAGTCCATACAAGCTGATTTATGTTTACCAGGGAGACAATGGTTGTGCACTACAGGACAGGGACTTCATGGAGCAGAGACAAGAGGGGCTCACAAAGCAGTAATTCTGCCCATCTCCTCCTGGAGTTCAGTGACATTTAGAGTAGCTCCTGTCTGGAGCTTTAGTTCCGAGTGAATCCAAATATTCAAAGTCTTACACAAAGTTCTTTATTTTATTGAAGAAGTTTGCCCTTCTTCACGTCTCCATTTTTCTCTTTTTCTTTTCTCTCTTTCAACAATCAAACCATCTCACTCAAAGCTAGACCCTGATGCAGGAGCTGTGTAGAGGAACCCAGTGGGTACAGGGAAATCATGTGTGTTCCCAGAGTTTCAGATGTTCCTCTGCCCAGTCAGCACAGAAGAGGAAGGCCAGTCACACACACTAAGGGAAGCTGGGCTCAGCCCTGCCCTCAGCAGCAGCAAAGCAAGCCCACAGAGAGGGACCCAACAGAAAATGGGGGAAAGCAAATCTCAGAGGCAGGTGGAGAACAGCAGCACCTGAGAGCACTGCTCTCCTGTGCACATACACTGGGGACCCTCCAAGGGGACGTCTGACTTACGGGCAGAGACTTCAAAGGAGTCAAATTTGATGGGCTGTATGTAATTAACGAGGCTGGACATCTCCTCATATGCTGTCACCTCCAGACCAGCAGTGCCCTGGGCAGGAAACAAAAGCCAGGAGCAGAGAGATGAAGAGATGAAGCATGAAGAGAGGAAACAAACCACCCCCCAGCCAGAGCCCCCTGCTCCTGCAGCCCCAGCGTGGGCACCACGGGCAGGGCACAGGGGCACAGAGCTCCCAGGAGGCCTGGACAGCACTCAGAGCCACACAGAGAGGTGCTGGTGTGACAGAGGCCTGGGATCTCTTTAACCTGTCAAAGCACAGACTCTGGGACAAACCAGAGACCCTTTTCCCTCATCTCTGACCCATACTAGGGAGATAGAAAGGGAAAATATTTTTTAAATTATTTTATTTTTAAAAATTATGTATTACTCAAGGGGATGCTGATCTCCTTCCCCTTCAGCAGCAGGACTTCATGTTTTGGCAACAACTGTTATCAGACTAAGGCTAAGCCTCTCCAAACACCCTGAAGGCAGACAGTCATCTCCAAATCACACAGAGTATCAAAGAGAGTCACAAATAATAACTCTTCTGCCACATTCTCTGTGCTTGCAACATCATTCCTCTTATTCAGTTTCTCCTGCAGAAGTCGTGTTGCACGGGGGAAGGAAAGCCTGTGACTGGTCATGGCACACAGCTCAGACCTCTCTGCATTTTGGGTTCACCCCTAGTCAATATGGTGAGGCCCCAGAGAAAACTGGAAGCCAGAAAAAAAAAAAGAGCCAGAAACAGAAAAGAAACAGAAAGAACAGTGTCAGTACCTCATCTGACTGCAGCTTTTTAATTTCCTCTTCATCGAGGTTTCCAAGATGTTCATCCTCTTCCTCTGGCTCCTCTTCAGCCACATCACCTGCCCAGACTAAGCACACACAGCCCCCATCAGCAGCACTCTGAGACAAGACCTCGCTGGGTGCTGGCAATGGAGAGCTCTGCAAAACCACCACGACTGCAAGGACAGTACCAGCTTGTTAGCCAAATCCAGACATGAGCTGGCACACTCAGGACCAACACGCTCAAGAGGCCACGTCGTTGCTCCTGCAGGGCTCCCTCCTGCCCCAGGAGGCACAGGCACAGTGCTGCTCACCCACCCAGCCCACACGCCCTGGTGGCACTCAGTGCCAGCGTGGTGAGTTCGTGGGTATCAGAGAGCTACAAGCAGTGAAAAAATACCCACCCTTCCAACAAGCCAGCAGCCAGTGGGGTCACTGAACGCCCAGCTCAAGCAGCCACGTGCTGCAGAATGGGCAGAGGAGCTGCCTGACAGGCTGACTGTCAGTAAGCTGATTGTCTCTTTGGGTTGGAATGAAATGTTTGAAAATATTCTGAAGATTTGATTTCTCTTCCAAGCTCACAGTGCTGCCTGAGATAAGAGAATTAATGACTACTACTAGCTTGCCTCAAGCCAGTATTGGGTGATTTGGAAGGTCTCCATTTGGCCAGACCTGCTCATCTAGCTCCACGAGTCCCGTGTTCCCTTCAGACATACCAGTGTCCTCAGCATCCACAGGGGCTGGCAGCTCTGTGATTTCTGGTTCCACACTCCGCCCCTTCTTCAAAGAGTTCTGCCTCTTCCCAGATACAGATTGCTTCTTTTTGTTCTTTATCAAGATCTTCCCCAAGAGATCCTTAGGACTTGGCAGAGGAACTCCTGGCTTCAGCTGCAACACGCAAACTCCACACTCAATCTTCATCACAAGGCAGAATTCAAACACTCATCTCCCCGTCCCTCCCAGGACCATTCCTCTGGCCATTTACTGCTCTCTCACCCACATCTCTCACCCACCCCCCTGTATTTATGCAGCTTTTTTCCTTTGGTTTCAGACCAGCATGTTGCACCTCTCATCCCTCTCACGTCCTGCTGCCTGCACATGCCACCCTGTTCCCAGCCACCTGCCCTGCAGCACAGCCAAGGACACACCCAGAGGGCCTGAGGGCATCCCCACACCTCTGGCTTTCCCAGTCCACCTGCTCCTCCCTACCCCAGAGCCTCAGCCCTAGATCAGCACTCAGGCCACGTTTAAACACTCTGCCTGCAGTGGGTTTGAAAAAGAGATCCCAGAGGAGGTGGCTCAAGAGCAGGATGTGACTCAGGCTGTGCTCCCAGACCCGAGCTCCCTGCACAGGCAGCAACAGGCCCATTGGGAGTTCTGCCAACACCCTGAACTGCTTCTCCCCACACCCCCCATTTCTCCCCACACCCCCCATTTCTCCCTGCTGCCTGGACAAGGACCAAGGTCTGGACAGGGGGCAACTGCTGATTTGCTCATTGCTTCTTGGCCCTTCTTTTGATCTCTGTGTGTCCCCCAACAATGTCACTGTGCCCACCACAACCCATGGTGGTACAAGGAACCTGAGCACTGGGCTCAAGCAGCCTGGGAGCTTCACTCAGCTCTTCTGAGCACCCACCCAGCTATGCCCATCCCTGACCTGCCCAGCTATGCCAGGGTGGGAATGTTTCCAGGCTGGAAGTGGGCATTGAGAAGCACTGGTAGGAAGAGCCTGAAATGCTACTAAGCCCTTGTTCCTGTTTCTTCCCAAAACAAGTGCTGGCAGGCAGATCTGAAACAGTACTGTGTACAAAAATACCCTGACTCATCTCAGTACAACTGACACAGCTTGGCTACCCAGAGCTCTGTGTCTGAAGCCACTCCAGTCACAGTGTTACACAAGAGCAGAGCTGGATCAGTGCTCAGGAGAACTCTGTGACTGAGGGGTCTGCTGGACCCTCACGATGCTGCTCACCCTATGAACCCAGCTTATTTGTCCTACATCCTCTTCTCCTTCACTGTCCTTGCAGTGGCATCTCCTAGCACCAGAGGTGACCAGTTATTTTCAGAAACACTTCTCCACTAGCCTCCTTCCCAGGGGGGTTACTCACTGGGTACTTTTCCAGAGGCTCTGTCAGCAGCATGTCTCCGAAGATGGTTCGGCAGTACTCGGCCATCTTCGCCTGCTGCTTGGGCCTAAGGAACAAAGAGACCAAGGAGTGAACAGGAAACTGCCCAAATCCAGATCTTGGAAGAAAAAACGTCTCGAGATCCATGTACTGTAGCCAGAAAACCATCTCTTGCCCTCTTGCCTCCACTCAGACAGCTCTGCAGAACTCGAAGTCCCTTCCCAGGCCAACTCCCACCTGTTCATACTCTGCCACCCCAAGCTAAAAGGCTGCACAACCGTGGTCACTCTCACTCTGCAGCTCATCTTCCAGCCCTGACCCACCTCTGGCTGCTGCCAAAATCTCCACCAGTGTTTCAGTTCAGCTCAGACACCCACTTAAAGCAGCAGCCCTTGCCTGTACCCTGCCTGCTCTGGACAACAGGAGCAGCTCTCCCAGTCACTGGATACTCACGAGTCCACGTGGTTCTCAAAGGACAGGATGACAGGGTAGAGAGATGTTTTAAAAGCACTTTCTGCAATGGCCTCAATGGCATCCTAAATGAGAGGCAATGGTCAGAGTTAGTCAGGACTCATTTCTAACACTCAGCAATGGACTCCAAACTGGCCACTGTCAGGAGCTGCTCTTTAAGTACCTGATCTTACTGCCATGATAAGGTGAGACCATACCCACCCAATTTCCAGCTCCAGAGGACACAACACGCAGCTAAACTCAACAGCTTTCAGAAAAATTGAAGCTGAAGATGTAAGAATATGAGTTTTTATTGTTGTTACATAGTTCAGTGTTTACACACATGAATTTGTCTTGCCAAAGAGGCACCCTGCTGCCACATGTACCTCAGACTGGCAGAGAAAGGTGTTTGCAGCCCCAGACTGAACTGCCTCAAACCCTATTTATACTTGTGGACCTGCCTGATTTTCTGTCACTTCAGCTGCTTATGAAACCCTCCTGTCTAGGAGCAGAGGAAACTGCAACGTTTGGTAACGAGCTGACATTTCAAATGCAAATACCATGGAAACGTTCTCAGCATTAATGATGTAAGAAAAAATAATCATGTTTTCCCCAAGCCCCTGTTAAGCTGCCACAAAATTTCCACTGTTTTCTCTTCTGGTGCTGCTAATTGACACAGGACAGGAATGTCACTTGCTGCTTTGCAGCTACAGTCTCCCCCCAGGACCCGGGTTCAGCTCCGAGGAGGCTGCTGCAGCTGCTCCTCCACAGCCCACCTGGACTCTGTCACAGAACTGGGCAAGGTTCAGAGCAGAAGCTACAGAAAAAGCAACTAAAAGGCCACAGGCAATGGTAGAAATGGGAGAGAGGTGTGGAGGGAAAGATCTACACATTAGGTAAAGCTAAAACCTGGGCAGAAGCTGCGCTCACAGGTTATTGTCTCCTTGGGGTGCAGACACATTCTGCCTTAGCAGAACTCTGGGAGGACAGCAGCTATGGCTGGCAGAATGTCTCCTGTCTGCTGTGAACTGCTGTGCAGAAAGCAGCAGCTGTACCACAGGATTTCAGAAATCACTGACACTGAACAGGACAACACCTCTGATCTTAAGGACTGGTGGTTGTTTTCCCTGCACATAAATATTTTAGCAATAGTGAAGAGTGAGAACTGAGGGGGAAGATACAGAATAAAAATAAATGGCTTTAAAAAGAACCTGAAGTGCCTCTGCTGGCAGTGGCTGTGTAAGGAGTGCAGGAAAGCTGGGTGTGAAGCACTGATTTTCAGCCTGCAGGCTGTAACTGCCGTGGCTAAATGCCCCATTTCCAAGGCAGAAGTGGCTCTGCCCTGTGCTGCTGCAGCAGGGAGCCCAGACCTCAGGGCAGCCACCTGCCCAGCGTGCCAGGGGGCAACTGCTCCACTCAACACACTCCACACACCCCTCTGATTGGGGAGCAATGAAACCTCTGCCTCAAAGTGCCCTCCTGTGAGGCCGTAAGCCACAGAAACTGCTGCAGACCAGTTAGAAGATAAATTCATTTTAACTGTTTGCTCCTTTGACCTGCATCTATCCACAAATCCACCATCCTCATGCAACCTTCTGCCCACAGACCCCCCCTGCCACGCTGCCCTGCCTGTGCTGGCACTGCACTCAGCCACAGCTCCATCGCTCCTACCCGACTGCCCCCATCTCCCTCCTTCATTCACCCTCCTCCAGCTGCCAGCCTCTCTTCTGGTCCTCCCCCACCAAAACTGTACACAAACTCTGACCTATTGCATACACGTTCATCCCTCACTCTACCCACACATCCCTTCACTTGTCACCTTGCCATCAGTCAAACACCTTTGCCCTCAGCTGATCCGTTTGACAGCTCCCTCAAGCAGAGATGGGTGTACAGCCCAGCAGGGGAAAGCAGATACGGAGAGGACCCTTCCCCTACCTTGAAGAGGATCTCGGTGGTCATGGTGAAGCCGTGGGTGATGATGGGCTCCTCCTCGGGGGGCCGGCCCTTCCAGCAGTCCAGCTCCACGCAGCGGCAGCCGGCCAGCAGCGCCTGGCGGTACATCTCGGGGGAGGAGAGCCCAGAGAACTGGCCCGCTGGGGAGAGCAGAGGGAGGGCCTGGCACCTGCTGCTCACGTGGGCACAGGGCCTGCAGGAACTGCAGCAAGAGCTCTCTGCCATCCTTGAGCAGGTGGACGTGGCAGACTGACACCACGTCCTCAGTTCTAGGGTGACATTTCTTCGTCTTCCTCAGCACTTAAGTGCCAAGGCCCACGGAGTGCATCACAACCCTGAGCCCTCCGAACTCCCGGGCAGACAGACCTGCCTGCATCACTGCCCTCCCCAGTGCTGGTGCCCAGGTGCTGAGCTGAGCTGGCTCTGGCACTGCCCGTACCTGTTAGATAGGTGTTGTGTGACGAGTTGATGAAGTAGTGTGAGAGTGGCTGCGTCATGTCCTGGTACAGCATCAGCTTGTCCAGCGCTATCACGTTGTTCTCAGGCCCACAGAGAAACCAAACCATCCCCTCTGGAGACAGCTGCCCTACGAGCAGAACAACGCTGGGCACAGCACCAAAACAGCGTGTGCCACAGCACAGGGACTCAGAGAATCAGGCTGATTGCTCCCCGGGGGACGCCAGGGCAGAGGAAGGTGTGAGACCCTCTGCTGCCAAGACCTGAACAGGACTCACCTCTCTGGATGTTGATCCCGCTGGGCTCGTACTTCTCTATCAGGCTCTGCACCTGCTCAGGCTTGGCTGGGGGGAACAGGATGTCATTGAGGCGAGAGTCTCGCTGCTTCTTGTTGATGAACTTTGCCAAGTGCTCTTTGGTCATGTAGGGCTTTGCTTTTAAATGGCTACGGTGAGAGAAGGAGAGGAGCAGAGGTGAGGCTGGTGTGTTACCCAGAAAACCTTCTCACACAGCAGAGGTTGGACCTTCCTCAGGTCAGCCATGGGCATCCACCTCCCTGGGCCCACACTGTTCTGTTTTGTCTGCATTTCTCCCCAGAAACTCTAACAGGGCTTGAATTTCACAGCACACTGAATTGCCTGTCCTATGAAATCGAGTCCACTTAAGAAGTCACAGGTTTAGCTACCTGAATTAAAAAATCGCTGGTTCCTTGAGAGGGTTGTGGTTCTCATGCTGTATGGGGCCTCGTTTGGGGCTACCACGGGCAGTATCACATTAGCATGACCTAGTGCTGACCTGCAACCCACCCTCCTGATGGTGACAGTGAAGAGTCCCCACAGCACACTGAGGTCTCACCCTTTTTACCCAGGCTGAGTGAAAGGGTTAAGTGCACTGGCACTGTCCTGCGACCTGGGTCCCTGTCCCGCTAAGACTTAAGACCAGACCAAGCACATAACATAAAATTCTCTCACCCTTCTTTTTGGCCCATCTTTTGCCATAACAGATGGAGTTCTGTGGCTTGAAGAAAACTTACTGTGAGGTGAATATCTCATCAATCTCAGGCCGTGGACACAGATTCATGAGGAAAGTTTTATACACGGTCTCAGGGAAATCTTCTGGGTTGATGGCATCATTCTGAGAACACAGCAGGGACTGATCAGTGCCAGAAAGCCAGGACAGCCTCCACCTCCCCATGCCACCCACAGCCCAGCACTCGTTTGTGACAATGCAAGTAAGGGATTGGGACCTCTGGCAAGGTGTTCAGCAGAGAGCAGACCGGTGGGGAGGCACCATAATGCCCCTTTTTTAACAGATATTTAAGCTGTCCCTTGGTGCCTCTTGTGTGCTGGCCTGAAGCTGAAGCTCAATGCAGTGGCAGGAGGAGTCAGAGGTCTGGGCTCTGTTCTGTGGGTCAGTGGAAGCACCAGGAGTAACTGTGAGACCTGGTGATGGTGAGACAGGCAGAAGGACTCGTGCTGCTGCCTGTGCCACAAGGTGCCAGTGGTGGACTCCAAGTGTTACTGCCACACAAACAGTGAGAATTGATGCCTACAGTTAAGGCACTGCAGATAGTGGCAAGGGAAAGGTTTCACAGCAACTAAGAGCATCTGGGCTGATGATTTTTTCACAGCCAAGGGCATCACAGTCAGCGTGGACAAAAAGATTCTTCTTCAACTAGCAGGACCTTGGGGTACCTAGGGAAACCCTTACCTTGCCCTTTGGAAGATGACAAGCACTCAATGCTGCTTCCACCCTCTTCCTGTCTGCAGGAAACATCTGAAAAATACTGACCAGACAGGGAAAAAAGAAATCAGCACAGTGTAGCAGGAGGGAGGTCAGAAAGCCTGGGCTGGGGTGGCTGGGAGCTGCAGCCAGAGTGCAAGACATGCAAAATGAGCAGCAAAGGAGACTGACAAGACAACTGCACACATGAAGCAGAGAGGAAAGCCAGTGCTCCTCGAAGGGAATAGCTGAGGTGCCAAGCTTTAGAAACCTACAGTGCATTTTTTACTGCTCCCTGAACACAGAAGTTCTCTATTTCTGCTGTGGACTCTGGAGGAGCCCCGTCACTGCCCTGCATCAGCACTCTCCAAATCCCTCTTCACTGCCCTCCCCTGCCCCTCTCCGAGGTGTCCCCTGGGGCAGGAAAGGTCTGGTGCCACAGAGTCCCCAGGACACTTCCCCACAAGACACCATCGCTGGCAGCAGCTGGCATTAGCAAGGGACAACTTTGTAGTCAAGGCAACATTCAAAAAAAGCAAACAAACATTGGGCACTTTTGCTGCTCTGAAAGCAAGCAAAATTCTCCAGAACCAAATGCCTCCCGTGAATTCAAGGAACAAGCTCCTTAGGCAGGCAGAGGAGCTGGTGTAAGATGTGATGGGAGCTGCTGCAGGACCCTCAGCTCCCCTCCTGTTTGGAGAGCTGGGCACTGGCTGCAGGGCAGAAGTCACCTGCTGAAGCCTGCAGCTTAAAGCTGCCTCTGCTGCCCCGGGGGCTAGAAACAATAACTGAACTCCTCCTGCTCTCAGAATACCCCAGTCAGCAGCAATGAGGTCTCCTCTGTGGATAAATTTAGATGTCAGCTCTATTAAGCTCCTGGCATCACAGCTGCTGACAGCCCCAAAGGGGAACAACAAGTGTGAGGTGCTGGGGGTGGAAGAGCCGAGTGCTGCTCCCCACGCACGGAACACCCACAGCACCTTCTGGGGCTCAGGGGGGATGGGAATGTCTCAAGAGAAAGGCAGATACTCGGTGGGGTTTTCAGAAGAATTCAGACACGGAGTTTTGAAAGCCTCACACAGCCCTGAGCCTAGAGATACGGAATGTTTTTACAAATCTGGCTCTTAATCTGGACTACTTAATGGTCTATTGCTTTACACCATAAAGCATTTTTAGCTCTCTGCAAGGAAAAGAGACCAGGGCACTGAAGAGAGTACAGCCTGTACCAGGTATTTTTTTCTTTAGCTTATTTCAGAAGAATAAGCTGTTTTCTCTCTGCAGTATTGCTACCTTGCCTGCATTTTAAAGATCAATTCAAAGTACTCTTCCCTAGTGTGAGTTATTCATGAAAGACCTATACATTTTTAAAAGCCCTTTGAGGAATACACTGGTTTCTGACAGAATGAAATTCTGCTAGTTGGTGGTTCAGAAAACAAACAACAAAAACCGTTTATTGTTGAGTAATGATCAGCCATCCGGGAGCCCATTTAGCCAGCAGAGACTTAATGTGGAATCCTTACGCAAGAGAGGCGCAGGGGGTGGCATGTTTATTAGAGCCGATTAGCACTTGCCTCTTGTGATGCATAAACCTAGAGGCAGAGTGCTTCAAAACTTCCCAGTGAATACCCACAAAGGCACTAGCTGCAGGTCCTCGTTCTTGAAACAAAAGATAATCGACGCACCCAAAAGGGAATCGGGCAGGCAGAGCAGCCCTTTGTCACTCATGCAGAGCTGAAGCAAGATGGAGCAGCCACAGGATCAGCCATGGAGTGATTTCATTAGGCAAGACACTGAGTGGCACAAAATCAATCCATTCTAGATTGACACCATGCAGTGCAGGGGAGAAGTGACAGGCTGCTGGTGGCTCATTCTCAGGGCAGTCCTACTGCGATGCACCAGGCCAGCAAGGGGCAAATCTCTGCCCTGCACCTGAACCAGCACCAACGCTGGCCCAGGGGTCTGCCCTCAAAGGCTTTCCCTCCCGTGCACATCCAGAGCAAAGACTGAGGGCAGCAGGATTAGACCCGTGCAGTGGGGCTGCAGTGCTCACACGTGAGGGAAGACAAGCAAAAGCAGTGGGGCTCTGCCTCAGCCTAGCTGGGGAGTCAGCCAAGAAGTTCTCCAAAGACAGAACTCCTTACTTGAAAGGTAAAATGAGTCCTACATCCCATCCACCTCCCAACTCAGGTTTGTAAAACAATCTGTGATTGGAATTTTACCAAAGTTGCTTGGTTTTGTTGATTATATCTTGGCAATAGTCAGGAATTGAAATCTGTGGCTAAGGCACTGTCTTGATGAGATGAAGGCCAGAAAAGGTCTCCTTCCAGAGACAAGTTACTTCCCAGGCCCTTCCTTGGGAGGAACCCAGGTGCAGCAGGAGTTTTCATGGCCTGAATCCAGAGGGAATGATCTCTGCCTCTTAGGTGCAGAAAGAGCAGGCAGCTGAAGCCACTGGGCAACCATCCTCTTACCAGCTGCTCTGCCTTTAGTCTGACTGAACACAGAGCAAATCAAATATCCACACTCACTTCCTGACAGGAATCTTCCCCTCTGCATTAAGCTGCATCTTCAGCTTCACCAGGCTGTGAAAAAAAACCAAAACAACCTTATGAAAAAGTACTTGTACAATCTTAGAGGTTCTGTTAAGTAAGAAGAAAGAAAAAAATATGCAGTTGGATAAACAATCTAACAGTCAACTGAAAATCAAGGTCCTACAGACCGTCTGCTTAACCTCAGACAGAGCCTGTTCCTGTTTCTTGGGAAGGAGAAACAGGCAAGTTATAAGAGCTTAGACATCAGGAAGATCCCTCTGAGACATAAGATAAAGATATGAGATAATAGTATCTCCTATTATTTAGCATCCCCCAGTGCCCCCAGGTTGCTAAGCAAACAGTACTTCAGAGCCCAGGAAGAGGCAGCTCTTGGCTGGCCCGAGTGCTGTGACTGTGGTGGGGACACATGAGGCTCAGAATTTCGGTTTGTCTAAAACCTGCCTGTGCCTCGGGGCTCCTGAGCTGCCCCAGACTCCTTCTGGAGGCTGCCAGAGGACCTGGCTGCTAAGAAGCCTTCTCCTTCCCGTGCAGCCAGGAGGGGCAGTGCAGGAGTGGGTCAGAGCAGGGTGGTTGGCAGCCAGCACTCACATTTTCTCCAGGAAGGTGTACCGAGAGGCGTTGGAGGTGAGGGGGTTCCGAACGATGGCCAGAATGTCCTCGGCCCAGCTCTGGGGACAGACACACACAGAGGACAGGGGCAGCTGGGGTTATGGAACTGCACCGAGAAGCAGACAGCAAAGCCATGGAAAGGGCATGGACCTGCCCTGGTAACACTGGGCTGGCTCCAAACCCCAGCAAGCGTGCCCTGGCCTTGGCTGGGTCACCTTCCTGCTGCATGCAGATACTCGCAGCTGAACTTTCCCACTGAGCCTTCTCAGCTGTCTGTTTATCCACACAAAGCACACGAAGGATAAAAATGACATCAATATCTTCTACTGCTCCTTTTCCATGCAGGACAGAAGTTTCTAGAGCCATGGAAGTACCACACCTTACTGGAACACAAACCTGCTTGTTTCAAACCTTGCCAGTAACCGCGGCAGGGTTCAGTTCCCTGCCTCCCCTTCTCCTCTCCTGCTGCCCCCTCAGAGCCCCCATCCCAAGTGTTCCCAGGGCTTCCTTGCCCTCAGGACCCAATACCTTGCCAACGTTCTCCTTGTAGGACACAAAGTTATGGAATGTGAGGTCCACCATGTCAGGTCCAGAAACAATAGTCAGAGTCTTAAGCAGGAAGGTGCTATGAGGGTAATCCAAGTTAAAAACCTCTCGGAGCTTCTGGCACTGCAAAAGAAACAGAACCGAGGGGGATGAAGGGAGAATGAGGCAAACCACACCTGAAAAAAAACCAAAATCCAGTCCAAAGATTGACCTAAATTCACGAAAAGCTTCTCAAGAGTTGCCAAACTCTCTAATGTGATCTTCCTTTCCTTGCCTTCCCTTATTTTTCATCTTTATTCTGGAGCCTGCGTTACCCGGATCCTCCGCAGAACAAAACACTGTGACCACCACTGCACAAACAGGCTGCTTTGGGCTGAAAAAGTAAAAGTTGGAGATTGCTCTTAAGGAAGTTCCTTCTGAAACTTCAGCCTGAACTTGCACACGAGCAGAGGAGTATTTGGCCTGCTCACACCAGAGGTGCTTAACCAGGTTATTGCAGCCAGACGTCTGTCAAAGCACAGACCCAGAAAGGCTTTTAGATTGGTGTGATACCTTTTGCTATTATCTCCCTCCTCCACAAGATGCTGTTTGGGACCCAGGAGGTCTTTCAGCTCTACACCTTGTTGCTGGAGGGATGGGCTCTCTCCCTCCAAGTCACATTTTCTGCTAGGTGTTAGTTGCTAGAAGTGTTTTTTTCACAGCAATTCCAGGATCCTACAGCATTGGCTCATCAGAGATTTAAGTATAAGGCTCATCGGATTAGTCACACTTGTATTTCATCACCAAATGAAAGTATTTATAGAATCTCTTTAAATTATTTAGCATTTTCTGCATTGCTACATAAGGCACCACTAAGCCAAGGAATCCTGGGGCTGTACTGCTGGTCGCTATTTATAATGAAAGGATAAAATCCCCACGTCCTAGAATAAAGGACAGCAGTATCTAAAGTGCAGGATAATTCCCATCAAAGCAAACAAGGAGGTGTCAGAGCCCCCCCTCCACCAGGAACTCAGGGCTGGGGCTGGCAGCAGAGCAGGCTGGACTCAGAAGTTCAACAGGAGCTGGAGTCTGAGCCCTCACTGTATGCACAAACCCACAGCCAGAGGCAGGTTAGAACATCACTAGCACCTCAAGGTGCCACAGATCACACCAGAAGAGGCTCCAGCTGCACGACTTGAGCTTTGTGTTTGCTGTAAGCTCAGAGCACACACAAGGGCAGTCGCTGCAGTTCAGCTCAGGGCTGGTGACTTGTCAAGCTGCCACTGACAATATCTGAACCCTTGCAAGCTGGACAAAGTGAACTCCCCAATCTTGGACTTCCACAAACCTCTGTTTAGCCCAGAGCAACTAAAACACCCTATATGCAACCACCTCTTTGCATTCCAATGGGATTCAAATGGAAGCAATTCCCTCTCTGCCCCAGAATTTTCTCTTCCCATCTGCAACAGCAGGAGCTCCCAAAGAGCTCAGCTTCAGGCCTCTCAGCTTCAGGCCTCTCAGCTTCAGGCCTCCGTGTGGGACCACACCGTGTCACACACAGCTACAGATCTATTCGATAAGGAACTCTGCAGATTCTTTCCATTGCAATTTTCCAAATTTCTGGGACCTCTGCAACGTGGACACACCCATAGCACACAGGTGTCTTCAGGAAAAGCAGGGTGGGCTGGATCCCACCTGCAGATGGCTGGACTGCTGTCTCTCACTTCAGAAAGGCAGCTCCCCGCAGGGGCAGCTCGGAAACCTGCGTAACCCAGGAGCATCTGGAGGGAGGGAAGGGGGAGAGCAGCCAGCCACCCAGGTCTGCTGGTTTTCTAATAGCTGGGGAGTTTCCAAAAGGGCTCACTCTTGCCTGGTGAGCAATCTCCCTTGGCAGAAGTGAGCAGCACACGCACACCCACACCTCCTTTCCCACTCAGAGCAGCCTCCCGACAGAGCTTCACTTCTCAGTACAAGTGGCAAAGCATTAGGATTTCAACTTCAAATTTAACTTCATCTTGCAAAGCCTCTGGCGTTTGTTCAGCTTCCTTACCTCTACTGGTGTAAAGCATACGAAGCTAAGACAATAGAGAACTTGTGGTTTGTGCTGAACTCATTTCCTGTATTTGTTACAGCGGGGCTCCTCCCAGGCCTTCCTCCTGTGCCAGCTGCTGTGCCCGGCTCTCCAGCAGCCCCATTGCCCACGCCAGCTCTCCAGCATGCTGGTGCTGCACCAGAGCTTCTGCCCTCAGCCCAGCTCTGCCAGACAAAGCTGATCTGTGCCAGGGTGGGCAGTGACCTGCTACCTCACCACCACCTCAGACCTAGGAACTCGTGGCCAACTTGAGCCTACACCAGTTTTTACATGCCGTGCCCTTTATCAGCACTCGCTCACGCCACCTCCTAAGGCCTTCCTGAAGTCGATAGCTTCATTTTATGGGAGGCAAACCACAGCAGGGAGAGCAAAGGATGATCTTGTTAGGGATAAATTGGGTCATATTTTCCCAGTGACTGACTTCCTGCCTGGCCGTAAGCGAGTCAGTCGCTCGCTCTGTGCTTTACATGGGGATTATCTCCCACACAGCATCAACCAGAGGTGTGATGTGACACCGAATGAAGATGGTGAGAGGCCCAGAGGCTGTGTCCACGGGCACAGAACGTGATGCCATGGCTGGTTCATAACCTGTGCTCCTTTGGCACCTTGTGCTGCAGCTTCACTGTGTAAATACTTAGTCTCACGTTGCAGGTGGCCGTAAAGGAAAAATAGGAATTGCTACATGAAAAGCAGGACAACTGTATTAGCCATGCAAATCAGAAGGGAAACGTGCTTAGCAAATCCACTTAAAAAAAAACCCAAGCAAATGGCAAACACCCCACCAGCAGGGTGGCTGCAGTGCAGACGCAGCGTTCCGCTACCCACCCTCCTCATTTCCCTGAAATCCTCATCTCTACAAAACAGATTCCTAGTCCAGAGAAAAGCAAATTCTCATGCAAATACAACCAAAGAGCCAGATCCTCCTCTGCTGGAGACAGAGCCCAGCCAGGACCTGCCCCAGCTGCTGTGCTCCTGTGACAGTTGCAGGCTGAGCCCCCCGTGCCCCCGGCCCAGCTGAGTGCTGGTGCTGTGGCAGGAGGGCAGAGGCAGCAGCAGGCCCAGCACAGCAAAGGCTGTCACACAGACGTGGCCACTTCCACTTGTCCACTGGTTCTGAGTCCCTTGCAAGCCAGGGGCTGCCCCCACTCTCCTCTTGCACACACAGGTATCGGTTTGTCCCTGCCCAGCCTGTGCCCCCCATTCACTCTGAGGCTGTTTGTTCGCCGTCGGTGCCAAGGTGCTGCCCAATGCCCTGTGGAGCTGCAGGGTGCCCGAGCCCCCCCGTGCCTTCCCTGTGCCCTGCCAGCCCTGCCCAGCCCCGGGCACAGTGAGGGTGCTCCCCCTGCACCACCCACTGCTGCTCTGCCGCCCGGAGCAGGGCCTGGAGCAGCCTGGAGCAGCCTGGAGCCATTCCTCCCTCGCCCATGCTCCGCTCAGAGCCCCCATCGCGGGGTGTATGGAGGGTGGAACTGCCTGGAATTGTGACAGGCAGAAAATACAACTTCTGTTCAGATGAAAAACTGCTTGTTTCAAAGCCAAGGCCTGCTGAAATGTCTGAACAAAACCCAAGGTGAAGCCAAAGACCCAGCAGCCTGGCCTGGAACATTGTGGATTTTGGCCCTACAGTCTCTGCCAGTGTTCTGGGATCCTGGTGCATCCGAAAAACCCCAAATGGAGCAGATGTTGTTGTTCTTGCTGCTCAAAGGGAGACACAGAATTGCATGGAACGAACATCTCGATCTGCTTCGGCACGCTGCTCAACCACGTTCAACAGCTTTTTATCTTGTCTCATTTATGTTCAAACTCCCTGCTAATTCTTATCTTTATTACTCCTGAAGACATGCCAAAGTTCATTCTGCCCCATCTCTCAAAAAAAATGTCCATGGAATAAAAACACTGCAGAACACTGAGTAGTTCTGAAGGAAAATGAAGCACAGGGGGTGAGAAGGGGAAACCTGCACATGCATGGAAGAGGTCACAGGAGGACTCAAGGGCCGTGTGTGGGCTTCTGTGTTAGTATGCCAGCAGGTGAGGGCTTGGGAGGGGGCTGAGGAGAGTCCTCCTCAAAGGGGCTGTCTCTCACCTTCAGGCAGGTTCAGTTCCAGGAGGCATTTCCTTCTGGAGCAACTTCTAGGACTTGGCAGTGCTGGGCTTACAGCTGGACTCAGCAATCCTAAAGGTCTTTTCAAAGGTGAACAATTCTTTGACTCTGAAACAGCAGCAGCCCTTCTCATCTGGAGGTGGCTCCTACTGCTGCCAGCCCGTACTGACTTGTCCTTTCTTCAATGCCACTCTTACTCTGCTGGGCCTGCTGGGCACCACAGGCTGACCAGCTACTCCCGACCCCCCGGCAGAGTCTGAAGGGCTCCCACCAGTCCCTGCCCCCAGCTTGCAGGGACAATGCTGCTGTGACCTGTGGCAATGCTGCTCAGGGAGCACGTATGATGGCAGCTCTTCTCAGAAGCTGCTTTCTGCACAGGTGCTTTGGTGCTGTTCTTCTTGCTGCACACAGACTACAGAAAGAAAAACCCCTAACCTCTTGCTTAGCAGCTGTGGGAAAGTGTTACTGAAAGCAGGTGCCTCCCAACACCCACAGCACAGCCACCTGTTGGACACAATGAACTTACATGGGGCTGAAATGCTCAGGACAGGTTCTGCCTCCTGCAGCTCGGGCACAGAGCAGAGCCCCAGTGAGGGGAAGGGGGCAGCAGGGCCCTCGCTGGAGCACCAGCCTTCCCTGGAAAGCTTCAGCCTCAGCTCA